GACAACCCAAACAATAAGGCTATTGCACACAGCCCCTTCGAATTCAGATTTAACAACTCTTGTTATTACTGTAGATGCGGAAATCTCTAGGAAGATTATGGAGCACGCAGAACGAATTTTTCTTAAAGGTCAGATGCATTGGAAAGAAGACAACTTTATCTCTCTAGATTGTATTTAAACTCTCAAATCGGACATCATATGGATCCGTGGTGGCAAAAACGAAGCAAAGATGTATATGGTGATGGTGGATCTTGTGGTGACCAAAACGTGATAGAACTCAAAACTCTAAAGGAATAAACACTAAGACCAGCAACTCGACACAACCGATGCACCAAAAACTCAACAAGCCCTAACTAAGCAGTGCTAGCAAAGGCTCAAAGGGTTTATAGGATTGTGGGTAAATTAATCTACTATATTTTTTTTTGGCTTTTTCTGGACCAAGAAAATTAAAACAGCGAAGGATTGGAAGTCTCTCACAGATAAACATTGCTCTGATTACCAACTGATATGAACCCGCTAGGGTTGAATCCCGAACTTTCAATGAGAGGGCGTGGGATAACTCGATTGGTGGATGGAGACGACATTCACGGTCTGACTACAGCCTTCCAAGTTGTGCCTTAGCAACCGATACACCACCTCTAATGGCCGTCGCGATCTTGTGGACCACGATCAACCAAACCACTAGAGTAATTCCTACAAGCAATCGAGGAACAAGCAAGAACAAGCAGAACAAGCAACTCAATTGCAAATATGGAGATGAAAACCAATCTGAACTCACAAAGTTGGGGTTCTGAATCAAGTAGAACGGATGGTCTAGTCAACACACGCGTCTATAAGGAAGTAGCAATGGCTAAACTTTCAACAAAACAAAACCTAATCTGTTTGTGGTGGCTCTAATCCTTATTAATACCTAGGAGGAGGACCAGGGGATCCTGGTGTCATGCTCCAACCCTAGGACACGTCCTTATTGGACCCGACTTGATACAAGGCGCATCGAGCCAAAATAAGGCGACGCAGCACCTTTGATAGAAAAAACTCTCGGTACTAATTTGATCATTGCGGCCGCCTCAGGCAAGATATAGGCATGAGTCTGAATCCATATGAAAATAGACTTCATAAGGATTCCATGGAATACTTGAACGCCCAAAATGGAGTTCGGATGAGGTCGTGGTGGCCGTCGCAATTTGGCGTAGTGTTGCAGTCCGAATCCAGCCCCAAAACGTGTTGGATTTGATCTCTTTCTTTCCTTGGGCCAAAAGTTACGTGGTGTCCTGGTGGAGGACGTTGGGAATACTTGTACTTGGCCCCCAATCAACTTCTTTGGTTCTCCATGCCTTCCTTGTGTCTTTAACACTCTTTTTGACGCACGTATGTATTTCTGAAAATGACAATGAACACACATCATGGTGCAGCATCAATTCATCAAATGTATCAAATACAGTCATGGTAAAGGATTGTTTCACCTGTAAAACAAAAGTTGCTAATGTGGTTGTATCCGGGCATGTGATGTCCTCATCATAAACACCTGGCAGTGATGACTCGTATCACTATCGGGTGAAACCACCACCGACTGTAATATATCACTGCCGGTTCAAGCTAAGAGCTGTCAGTGATATCTAAGATATCACTACTGGCACATGCTACAATGCGGCAGTGATATATCGCTGTCTAGTCAAGCCTCTACTCAGCAATGCCATTTTGCATATCACTACCGGCTTTTGTTGTGTCCCATCGGTATTTTCTCCGGCCATTATATCCATCTACCTATCACAAGATTGATTCTCCACTGTTGATCCGACCTACCACCATTGCTTCTAGTTATAAGCGGTGTCCTTATGCCTCCACAGCCAAAGATAAGGTCCCCAATGCAGGCTGATTTAGTATGCAAGATACATCATCATAATGTCTTTGCCACTATATATAGTATCCACATATATGGCTTCTTTTATAGGATAGAGTCCTCCACATACACATTTTATTATGTGTAGTCAAGATAATGCACAAGAGAGATACCCAAAGAATGTTTGTGAAGATGGAGACCACGCTGAAGGTTAGGTGCTATTCGCAAATATAATGCTACTCGACATCCCAATTGGTTGTCGGACTGCGTTGAGCCAGCAGCCCAGATTTGCCCATCACAGCTTCAACGGTAGTTGGTATGCATTGGGATTGCAACGGCCACTTGCTCATCACGGGGTCCAAACCCTTATGCACTCTGGTTGGCTCTTCCCACCCCTCTGGCATGTTATTACACCACTGAGCACTTGGGTGCTAGAATAATGTTTGTGAGGTGATTATATTGTAATATGTTTATAGACTTCAACTGTAACATTGATCTAGTTGGTGAAATGTTATATGTTTGTAGTCTTCGTACTATTCTTTAGACTTCAAATGATTCTCTATTTTCTATAGTTTAAATTAATTTTTGTGTACTTAGCATCACTTACAAATTGCACCTGAGTGTTCCATAAATTTTTGAATTATTTCAATAATTCTAACTACAAACTTGGATGGATACACAATATGTAACAGAACATTTAGAGTCTCGATATAATGTAGACAATCCCAAATAGCACTAAACAAATTATACCTACAATACATTTTAACAGAACAAGGATTTCACCTCCAATTCCAACTAAAATAGACAAATTGTTCAACAGTTCTTCATCGATAGACTTCAGCTGATTCAACTCTTCAGGCACATCATGCAGGTGCACTCCCATGAGCCTCCTCAGCCATTTTTTTTAGCAGTTCAACATATTCTTCCTCTCGGTACCAGCCTTAGCATCCACTACCATCCTGCTGAAATTCGAACACCAAATCATCAACTTCGAATCAAAATCATCACAAAAATGGCTAAAAATCATTAAAAATTCTGCTAACAAGAACTAACTTTACGATCCGAACACTTGTAGGCCATAGTTGAGACCTTTTTTTCACTATGAACTCCAACAAAGTGTGTGTCCAACATATTCTTTACACTCAACATATTCTTCCGCTCTACAAATTGAATTTTACAGGCATCTCTTGTTGATGCCGCTCCTTACGATTTGATTTATGTGGTTGGTTTACAAATCGGAAAAAAAGTAGAGGCCATCCCACACCAATTTTTCTTCCCTTCTACAAATTGAATTTTGCCGTGTGCAGGCATCTCTTGTTGTGGGGCCGCTTTTTATAAATTTGATTTTATGGCAGTCTACCTAGGGTATGCCCAAAAAACGTCTCTACAAATGCGCAAGTCCCAAACAAACGGTGAAAAGTAGAGGCCATCCCACAGGCCAATTTTTCTTCCTCGATTTGTATTCTTTGTAAAAATGAGAGATGATTTTACACCGATCGAAACTAATCCTAGTCGGTGACAATTGCCATATGTGGCGGATAAGGATTCCTATTCTGGGAACTCAGATCCTACACCCAAGGAGGATCTTGATTCCTTGTGGGGATCAAAGTGGGCCTTTTATTTTTATACCTATCGATAGGCCAACCCAAGCTTAGCTTAGTAAGGGTATAGGGGTTAATACCCCCACAGATATATGCCCGTGCGTCCAGGTCATAATTTTTTTAACTAAACCTCAATAATAGGACGCGGATGTTTGAGCTCCGAGAACTTTGTATTGAACACAAACACGTGAGCTCTGAGTGGAGGATGATTCGTATTAGATGCTGACGTGAAAGTAGGGATCGAGACGTATTATCGGATAGATGATGACGTTACAATCTTCTTAAGTGTAAATATTCATTCAACTTTTATAAAAATTATTTATTACCCTTACCTAAAATCCCAGAAATATACTACTCTCACCAATTTAGTTGGTAAATTTTAAATCTGATCGAGTATTTTTTTTGGCTGGAGATTTGACGATTGGTTTTTTTACCGGAGAGGAATTTTTTTAGGATTCGTACAGAGCCCCGGCGTTTTTTTTTTCCCCGTTCGGTCGGCTGTGGATAGAGCCTTTAATTTTTTTATTAGTTTTTTTTCTACCGGAGAGGAGATTTTTTAGGATTCGTACGGAGCCCCTTTGAGCCTTTTTAGGTGTAGATAGATATGAGGTTGCCGACCGTCTCCGACGCGAACTCTGCAAAATTGGCTCCGACATGGACTTTGTATAGTGATTTTGGATTTCAGACGTGGCGTGGAGGCGTGCGGACTTTGGATTTCTGGTGCGGAGGAACGGTGAGCGTATAGTATACGATTTTTTGTATCACTGGGTAGATGATTACTTTAGAGTTTTTTTAGGTGTAGAGAAGAGATTATGGGAGCTTATTATTGGCAAAAGTCATAGAAACATAATAAATCCTCTCCCTAATCGTTTTTAGGATTGAGTAATCATAGATTTGACAAGTAGTTTTTTAAGAACTGTTATGGGTGCTCTAACTTATTTTCTTAGATTCGCCGCTGGAGTGAATAGGTGAAACCTACAAGTTAAAACTACTTCGCACAGCTATCAGTGTTAAGCCGGCTAAAGCCGGTTTTGGTAAAGCAAAAAACAGATTAGAAATATGAACTACCCCCTAATGAGCTGTATCAACACCGGCATTTTTTTTTTTTTTTGAGTCCCAGCCTAGGGACGCCATCTTTAATCATGGGCCAGACATGCTTTGAGCTTCCATCAGAAGAATATTCCACATGGAGAGAACCATATGGTCCCGTTCTCCAAAGAAAATGCCCAAAACGATACATATAACAGAGAGCCAGCACACATATGGTTAAACTAATTCATATCCCCACAATATTAAATAAGCACGTGAAAATACCACCTCTCAAGTCTAAACAGCAAACTAATTACCTTAGCTAGCTAATACGGTAGTGCCAAACACGTTAACAACCCAGTAGTCCAGTACAACCTGTGGCCACTAGGAAAATGATAATTTTACACGGTGGAGTACACTAAGGCAGCTTCATGCCCTCTCCTCCTAAGCTTTGGTCCCACAACAGAGTTCTAGAACACGACCATCCCATTCCACCGAAAATCGCACAATTTTATCAGGGGAACACTTCGCTAGCTTGAACCATTGAGGCGCTCCAAGGTCTCCGCAACATGCCTCATCGACGGCCTCCGCTCAGGATTCGCCTGAACGCATGCAAGGGCGACTTTCAGCACTGCGATCATCTCATCTTCCCGTTCAGAATCTTGGGCAAGGAAAGGGTCCAGCACATCGGCAGATGGTTTCTTGTCTTCGATGCAGAATTGGACCCATTGAACAAGATCCATTTGCATGGTTTCCAAGAGAGCAGAGGGTGATCGGCCAGTGATCATTTCAAGCAACACGACACCATAGGAGTAAACGTCCCATTTCTGCGAGGGCTTCAGTGTCTTCAGCGCTTCCGGAGCTTGGTAGCATGACCCTTTGCTCGTGAGAGGGCTCACTGAGGCATCTGATTGCTGGCTCTGTTCCTTTTCTAAACCAACTCGGTCTGATTGCACAAATGGTGATGCTCCTGCGATGTTTGCAAGTCGCCCAAGGCCGAAATCTGAAATGAACGGCTCCATATTTGTTCCAAGGAGGACATTGTTTGGCCTCAAGTCACCATGGACATACTTTTTGGGGCTGAATTCATGCAGGAAAGACATACCCTTGGCAACTCCTTTCATGATCTTTACTCGGGCTTCCCATGGCAACGGGGTGAATGTCATCATCCCAGGTTTACCTGTAAGCCATAGCAATTTGTCAGAGTAAGCAATCAGCCAACACCACTAGCTGGACACATGTCCTACTACAAATTCAGAGTATACTCCAGTAATCTTTATTCCAATCCAATCGGTAATAAAAGCTCCAATTTCTGAATAAAGACAATTATACAGGCCACGTCCTTCAGAAACCCAATCTTCGACAAACACGAATACCTAACTGTACGAAACTTATATAATGAATGGTTAACAGAAGCACAGAGAAATTAGTTCGGACCGAATTCCTGAATCTCTACATACAAATCACGAGAAACAAAACAATAAAAGGGTTATGCACAATAATACAATGGGCGTACCCAAGTTTCCATCCTACTGTAGCTATCACAATAAATTCAGCAATCGGGAAGTACCAGGATCCTGATCCACACAAGTAGGATGTGAAAATTGGTAGTAATTACTTGTTCATGAAACAACAGAACCAATGGAAAAGTACATAGCAAAGGAATCACTATATCAGGATGCAAGTCGCAGCAAAAGCAGGTACTTACCATGAATTGCTGCAGAGAGGCTGTCATTAGGAATGTAATCATATATCAGCAGCTTCTCATCAAAAGACCAGTAATAAGCCCTCAAGGTAACAATGTTGGGATGCCGGACCTTGCCAATCGCCTCAACCTCAGTCTGAAACTCCTTAAACCTCTGCAATCCCCCCTCCCCAAGCCGCCTAACTGCCATCGTGAGCCCGTCCTCAAGAACCACCTTATAAACGATTCCAATCCCACTCTTCCCCAGCACAAAAGCTGATGCCTTGAGCAGCTCATCCAGATCAAACCTCACATGCTGGTCCAATGCCACGAGATCGTACTGCTCCGCGTGCTCGGACGGAGTCTCGGACTCATCCCTGCTGAAACATCCACAATCCTTGCCACATTTGGACCCTTTAGAACCGGCAGCCGCACCGTGCCCCTTGCTCCTGTCCTTGGTTGAAACCGCCCTCCAGTAGCAGTAGAAGAACACCAGTGCAATGATCAAAATCCCCACAAAATCACTGAGCACGATGGCCACAATGGCAACCTTCCCCAGCCCCTTGTTCTTCCCCTTGCCACCACCGGCTGCCTCGGGTGCCGACGAGTCCCCTCCCTCGTTGGGCAGGGAAGGGTTGGACGACGGCGCGCAGGGGTTCTTAAGCGGCGGCCCGCAGAGGCCCGGGTTGCCGACGAACGCCGTGGGGCCCCGGTTCTCTAGCGCCCCGTTCTGCGGGATGGGACCGGAGAGGTTGTTGTAGGTGAGATCGATGTAGACCTTCTCCGGCAGCCTGCCAAGGCTCGCCGGGATGGGGCCCGAGAAGTGGTTGTGCGAGAGGTCGACCGTGCCCTGGAGCCTGGACAGGTTCCCGATGTCCTCCGGGATGGTGCCGGAGAAGCCGTTGAAAGAGAGGTCAAGCCGTTCCAGCGCGGCGAGCTCGGCGCCGAACCCGACGGGGAGCGGGCCCGTGAGGTTGTTCCGCGCGAGCGCGAGCGCGCGGAGCCTGCGGCATTTGAGGATCGAGGACGGGAGGGAGCCGTTGATGGCGTTGGAGGAGAGGTCGAGGATCTGGAGGTAGGCCAGGTCACCGAGGTCCTCGGGGAGCTGGCCGTCGAGCGCGTTCCCGTAGAGGACGAGGCTCTGGAGCGCGGGCGCCCCCGCGACGAGCTCGGGTGGGACGGGCCCGAAGAGGCGGTTGCTGCGGAGGTTGAGGTGGCGGAGCGAGGACGGGAGCGGGGCCCTAGGGAGCGCCGCGACGAGGCGCTTCTTAGGGAGGGAGAGCGCGACGACGCGGCGGGGCTGGGCGGAGCCGGGGTCAGGGGAGGAGCAGGCGACCCCGTTCCAGGCGCAAGGGTCCGCGGCGGTGGCGTCCCAGTTGGCGAGCGCCCCCGTGGGATCTTGCAGGACGGCCGCCTTGAACGCCAGCAGCGCCTGGCCGTCCGGCGTGAGCGCGTCGGCGGCGGTGGAGACGGCGAGGAGGAGGAGCAGAAGACGGAGCGCCATGGCGAGTTGGGTGGCGGACGAGTGGGCAGTCTGGGGGGACTCAGGACTGCGGAGAGTGTGCGGAGGAAGGGACGGGGCTGGCCGCTGGTGTCGAGGTGTGGTGGGGATGGTTTGACTGATGACTGCACCCACTCACTGGCCACTGCCAAACCCAAGCGTAAACGGCTAATCGCGACAACGGGGCGGATTTCTGAGTCGTTTCTGATGTTTTTTTAGCGTGGCTTGCTACCAGAATCCTCCTAACAAAGTTAGGTTCAGTTTTATTAGTCCGCCCGCCGTGTAGTCCGGCGTGGACCTGGCGTCCTGGCCTCAAGGGCCGTGCGGCGCTGCAGGCGCAGTTTCTCTGTCGGCAGCCGCATCCCTCCCCAGGTAGCAGTGGCGCGGGGTGTTCGGTACAGTTTCGTGTGCCTTGCCTCCTCTTCAACCCCACGCTAAACTAGCACTAGCACTGTGCAAAAGAACCGTTTTTCTCTTCCCGGCTCCTCCAATACTACAGGATGGAGTGAGAGCACGAAGAAGCCTAACCAAACGAGGCTTATAGAAAGTTAAATTAACAATCAATGTATAGGACAGTAAAAAAACAAATGGGTAACTAGTTTGAGGACTCCTTTTGGATGGTTGCCATGTTCTCATATTCGGTCTGTTCACTGGTTGGTTTCTGGGCTGATAAACCTAACTGGTGCTGGTTTGTTGTGAGAGAAAAACACTGTTAACTGGCTGATAAGTCCTGGCTGAAACCAATAAGCAAACAGGCTAATTATAACAAAGTACTGGTACATAGTTTTATAGGAAAGTAGTAGTTTTAGATCCTAAATGTTTGGATTTATTAGAATTTATTAGTATTAGTATAAGTTTTCTACTCAACTGCACTTGCTACAGCTATGCTGATAACATAACCTACTAGAGTTTTAGGATCAGTTTGCTTGGGCTTTCTAGGAACTTTTGAACCTCAGCTTTTGGATCTTTTAATAACTAAAAAGCTTCTGTAAGGCAAAATCTAGAAGCTCATTAGAATGACTCTTTGGGCTTCTGGTTTTATGAGAGCTGTTTGACTTTTGGAAAGTCCAAAAGCCAGTAGTCTAAAAGTGGCTCCAAAACATGAATTTTTTTTTTACTAAATTCAAGAATGTTTTTGTGAAAGTAAACAGATTCATGTAAACCTTTTGTACAATTTCTATGAAATTCACGTGTTTCAAATGGACTCTAAGAGTGTAGGGCATGGAAAAAGAAACAAGATTAAGTTGTAAGTACTTTCCTAAAAATTAAAAAATAAAAGCATGTCCTTAGTAATTCTCTTATCTGTATTCATGTTAACTTGTCCAAACAATTCCCTCCCTCTCGATGGAAAACGTGCCGAGTCGAGACACATATAGTCATTTGAAAAAAAAACGTGTTCGAGAAACAAAGGGGATTCGCAAACCAAGAACACCTTTGCCAAATGCCACAATCAGTTGTTGGAAGCTGCAGCTCCAGACGCATAGCGTAGAATCTGTTTCTAACAAAAACCTGTATGCGCAAGTTTCATGGGAAACTATTTTGGCCTGTACAACTTTGGTGGGAAAATGCCGGTCTAGGTTGGCGCCTGGCCGTTGTCCAGGCATGCACGAAATATCAAAAGCAAGCAGGCAAGTCCAGCCGTACAGCTTGCGCGCGGGCACTAGTCTAGCGTTAAGACTCGGAGTACAGGTGTACAGGTCTTAGTCCATGCATAATTGTGTTTGTGTTTGGCACGTTAAAATATTTCTGCTGTAGCAGTGTAGCACTAGGAGTGATCATGATTGTCCGTTGTATTTTCCGTACGGCTGCGGCATAGTTAATCAGTGGGTGGAACAAATTATTCCCAACTCCCAACGGTAGGGTATCGTACAGCAATGACGATTAAGGTATCGATGAGTCCAACCAGAGCCGTCTCTCCCCACACATCCCGTTACCCGTACGTCTGTGAGCCACGGCACGGCTGTACAGCAAATGGCAGTCGATTTTTTTTTTTTGTTCACGAGAAGGGAAATCGTAGGTCAATGGATGATACTGCTAGTAGATTTGGCAACTGCCATGGCACCAGAAGGCGTCAACTAGAACGGTGAGCGGTGAGCCAGAGCCCAGAGGAGAGCTCCATGGGCCATGCCGGCAATGGCCACCGCTAAAGGCAGGGCCGGACCAGCAGTGTCCGGAGTCCGGACCACGCTATGATAGAAGTAGCCGTTGTCAGCTTTTTCGCACGTACGTAGTAGTACTACTACACTACTCATGCAGTCATGCTTGCCGGCAACCACCCACCAGGCCAGCAGGATCTAGACTTCCCGTTCCGCGGATAGAATTTTGGTTGAAATTGGCTGAAAAATATTGTTCTGGTTAAATTTTTGTGAGAAAAAAACTGTTTCGCTAAAAAAAAACCAAACAAACCAAATATAAAGTAAGCCGAACAAACCGAATATTCTGGTTTATTTAGGCCTCACTCGGGGACCCATGACCGATCGCAACCCCCACCAGAATCCAGACTTCTTCTGCGTTTGGACCACACAAGATGAGATTATGGATGTAATTTGATTCGTGGGGCAATCCAACTTTCGATGGTGTTTAATTCTATGGCAGCGTGAATGAAGCCATCCGATTAGGAGAATATTCCCTTTAGACGGTGGACAAGCTTGAATGGCCAGACAAGCTCATCCACCTTCTTTATTTTGATCAATAGTAAAGAGATTAGTAATTATTATTATGTTTTATTATTAATTTTAGTAATTATGATGCTAAAATTAGTTTTGCAAAGTGCTACTAAGTTGATTAATTAGAAGATACCCATGCGTTGCCTAATGAATTTTAGTTAATGCTATGGTATGCTCGTGTGGACAGATAAACACATGTCAGTGGATTATGTGGTTGCTCACGTGGATAGCTTGCATTAATAGATATGTATCATAATTGCATATTATAGCGGGTTGTTGCATGTTGAGATATAACTCTAGTGAGGTTCAGGATTATAAGATATTAGAAGCATAGCGTGTTGCTGCGGGAATTGCAACGAAATTTTAGTGGATAGCATGGTATGCTGACATGGATAAGTAAATGCATGTTAATGGATGATGTGGCTTGTTAACTTGGATGTATTTCATGAATAGACATGCGTGATAATTACATGTGCTGGGTTGATGATGTGGATTGCTTGTATCTTGAGATAGGTTTCAAGATTATAAGATATATAGATATAGATTTTGATTGGTGTGTTAATTAGAATAATAGTGGTGCTAATTAACATGTTGTATTTTATTAATAATTATAATTATCATGATAAAATATTTACCGGTAATCGCGTTTGTGGTATGGCCGCCACCGTGTACCGAGGGAACGAACAAGACATGCGCTCGATGGTGAATGTAACACCCTGCGTCCAAAACTACTTATATGGCCCAGTTCCGCACGTCGAATGGCCTTGCATACGCGTAGCACCTCTCTTACACTTTCGTCCTTACTTCGTGTAAAAGGGTTAACCCTTAGGTGCTACGTTTGAAACGACAAGGCTTATAAGTTGCCCCTCACCCTCCTAGACTTTCAAGGTGGTACTAAAGCCACCAACAACACTCCACATGTGCCACTTGGGCCACGTAGGCCAACTTCACTACTACTATAGGCTACTAATGGGCTATGGTGTTACAGTGAAGACGGTGAGGAGCAGTCCAAGAGAGGCCGTCTCGGAGATCCACTTGCGTGTGGGGAAATTCCAGGGGCTATCCACGGAATTACCCTATTGGGAGCTTGGCTCCTGTGACTTGTGAGGGGCTCCAACGAGGACTAGGGGAAGCTAGCGTGCTTCTCAATACCTCGATAAAAATACCGGAGCCGCCTTAGGTCACGATGGTGTTAGCGTGGCCGAAACTCCACCGGTGGTCGTTCCGCTGCCCGAAGGTGAGACCTCGGAGGTGATGATTCCAATAGAGGCAATGTCTTGTTCGACGCCATGGTTGACGATGCCTGAGGGTCCTTCGAGCAGACCCATGCGCGATAAGGCGGAATTTGCACATGAGGGCTTGGCTCCTGATGTTGCCGTGGGTGATTGTGGTGATCTTGTCCCTCCTCGGGTGGATGCTTCCCTCGATTAGGCGGGGATGGTTGGTCTAGCGTCGTCAAGTTCTTCGCTAGGAGATGGCCCGGTGATGGACTCTCCCCCCGAGGGGGTGACTGGGGCAGTGCCCCAACGCCTTTTGAGCGCTCCTTCATCCCACGAGGGCTTGAATCGCCCTACGTGGAGCTACCGGGAATATCCCCATTTCATCCACACTGTCAAATCTTCAGATCTACAGCGTATATTGTGTACCCCTTTAGGTATCGTAACCGATCCACCGTGGGCTAGTGAACACGGTGCACCACTCCACACGCACGCGGCTCACGGCATAGTCCCGTGGACTAGCCAATCACACACGGTCATGTAGTGCCACGTCAGCCGGCGACCGAGGAACCCCACTTGCCACGCGTTTTTTTACGAAACCCCCCTCGGTTTTGTAGATATCAATCCACACTCCATTTTTATTCAAAATAAATTCCTTTTAATCTGTTTTCTTTCGTCTAGGTCACCGCAATTTAAAAATGGCATTACAAAATTAATCCCTCTTAATAGTAAAACTGTCAAGCCTATTAACCGAGGGATCTTTGATCCCCCGATCATCTCATGACTAGTTAAATCGAAAAATCTATCATTATACCTTTGCCTTGAGCTAGCCATGTAGCCATCATGTTTTCCAAATCTAGGCACATGATATCCAATGCAGTTCAATTCTCCATGTGGACTACTTCTCAAATGAATTTATTAGTCCACAAACGTTGTCATTAATCACCAAAATCATAATTAGGGCCTAGATGCTTTCAATGGTAAGTGATATCCTTAGGAACACCATTGAGGAGGATGCAAGAAGCCCACTAAGAATATCACACCAAATCAAGCCAAACCCAAACTCTCTTAGTCACAAGTAAAGGTCAAATCAGAATCGAGCGATTTAATTGTGTCAATTTAAGCATAGTTCAAGCAAAATGTTGTAGTTAGTCCATAACATTAATCGACTATTTATAGAAGCCTGTATGTATAGGTATGACACCTCACATGTTCCTAAAATTCTTTTTTATGTTCAAGGAACATGCTCCTAAAAGTTTTAACATCCTAATTAGGACACTGATTTATTGTACACTACAACTCAAATTGTTCTACCTATCTTGACATGTTGCAAAACAAAAAATGCCCAAAGAGCAAATCAAACTATGTGGATTTTAAACAATCCACTGTCACTATATGATGTTACAGATATAGCTACCTGTATCAATATTTACAGGATGTCACACATCTTTCACCAATCAAGCTTTCACACTAATAAACCTCACAAATGAATACCCATAGCTCTTAACCTCCCTTCCCTCTGTCTTGAATGCATTTGCCCTTAAACTTACAGCAAACAATCAAGAACACAACCGATGCTGCACTGGTATGAGTATCCCAAGTTTTCAAAAACACAGGCCATATCATTTATCTTCATGATCCTGCACTTTTATCTAGTTGTATTGTCATCAATCGATGATTCAGATGCAGAATCATCTGAACTTGTGATGGAGGTTGTCTCACATGAACTCCCATTTTCAGAGTCCAGTGAATGTGATGTTGGCCTTTTCAAATACCAGTACATGATGCTTGCTGTCAGAGTTAGCATCATCTTCTGGTTCACCTGAGAGAAATAAAACATAAAAAATACTGTAGATTGTAACTATGTTTAGATCACAAGGGAAATAAGAATATTTTATAACTGAATCTGTAAACAGCCTAAATTCTGGATAACACCTTCGATTGTAACTGAATTTGGGATAACACTATGTGGTCTGAATTTGGGATGACACTAGCTGCCCTGAGTTTACTGAATTTAAGGTGCAGTGAATGCAAATGGATGTTTTAGACTAAGCATTACCACCAACAAAACTGAATGCAAATGGATATTTTGGGGTAAGCATTGGTTGCTGATATTGACAATAATTCATGAGAAACATCCATAATTGTAGGGTACGAAAGAACATAACAGATTAAATTTACTCAATCAAATTATTACCTCCAATATATCTTCTGGCAACAAGAAAATGGAGCAACCAAGCTTCCTAGCCACCGAAATGATGTATGAAGCGTTCATTTGCTTCTCTTCATCTATACAGAAATAAATTTGAAATTTTCAGGAAACAAGATGTAACAAATATACACTGGTAGAAGAGAATTTCATACAACACCCACTGTTTTGGTTGAATAATTGTAGATGCAAGGTTAGAGGTGAGGCATACTCATGCTCCAAATGAAGGCTCTGAGCAGCACTTAGGTGGGTCTGGAATTCTCTTGCTAACGAATATATATGGATGGCTAGTAAATTGATTTTCTTAAGCAACTAACTAAAAAACACCTAGTAAACCAAACCTCCTAAAGAATAGAATTGCTAATACAAACAACCCTAGCAAGAAAAAGTATCTAAGCCGATCCATCTTGCTTCTTCTGCTTCCGTGGAGCTTACATTTTCTAGAGAATGAGCACAACATTTATATTAGTCAATCTGGTGATTTGACATAACATTGTGCTAATATAACTAGCAAGAATGACTATGAAAGATAGCTTCTATGCTAGAAGAGCTGAGTGGAAGGTGTACCATAGGTGGTAGTTATTCAGACAATCTTGAAAGGCTAAGCAATTTGGGTTATAAACTTTGCATTCATCAATGAGATGAACATAATTCCATGTCACAACGAGGGAAAACATTGGGTTAATGAGAATATGTCAAAAATTCAAAAACTGCAGGAGCATAACAGATGCACCTTTTTCTCCTTTGGTCACAAGGCTCCAATTCACAACTCGAGGCTCCACAGCACTTAGTAAGTCAAGGAAAAAGGTACCACTTGAAAGGCTTTTATCCTGTAATTGGTAAATATAATTTGATGCATGAACCACAGGTAGAAAATTTGATTAAAGAACAAGATAATTGTAGTTAAATTTTGAACATGAAACTATTACACACTTTTTATGTCCTCTTGGATTTGACAGTAACATTAGGTAATTAATACTAGTCCTTCAAGATCAGCATTATATCATCACAATGTACTTAACATTGAACGCAACCAACTAAAAGTGGTAGTCATCATTTAGGAGAGAAGTAAACTTCAGATAAGATCAAGCTATATTTGAAGCTTTTGAAAGTAGTTCCAGAAGTTTACCCACCTTATGACCACATAGATAAGCACATAAGTTAGCCAATTGCATATATTTCATTCAGCCTGTTCGCTTGCTCGTAAACGATCGTAAATTTCCAGCCAGCAACAGTGTTTTTCTCTCACACCAAACCAGCCAGCAGTAAATAATCCACGATACGATACGGCCTCCCGAACAGGCTGATTATCTACAACCTATAATTCGATATGCTATCAAAGAATAAACAACCAAGCAACTTAACTGCTAATAGTGATACAATATCAATAATTAGGTATGCACACTAGGAAATATATTAAATGATATGTACCTTGAAACTTTGCATATGAGAGTGGTGCTTTCCAGAATCTTTTACTTTTTTATTGGCCCATGCCAATATGTCATTATCTGTGATCTCTTTTCCATTTGAGTGAAATCTAAGATTCTTCAGCAGTTGAAGAATATTGTACCGCATCAATTGCCACAGAAAAGCTGGGATAAATGCACCATTTTGTTATATGATCCAGTCAGAAGTTGCAAAGGAGGGACTATACCTACGGTGTGCAAACCAACTAAACCAGATGCATGGCATATAATAAAAGAACGCTTGAACTAATGATTGATTGTATACCACATTTTCGATGATAGGAATTGTATCATGACAAATGTGAATTTCATCGTTAATTAACCAATTCAGTAGTTTGGCATGCTCTAGAAAATGATATGTCAGCATACTGTTATATAGGAATTCTTTTACGTGACATTCTTGCATAAAAGTTCCAAGAAGATCAGTGGAAAAAGTTGCATGTAAATGAGTGCATCTGTAAACTGACATTAAACTTGTACAAGCATGGGTGTAAATTTGTTATCTTCAAGTTTATGAACATTTGTCCAGCTCAAATTAATTGGAAAATCAGAAAGAACATGTGGTTTATAATTTTTACAGGATACTATGTTACCGAGATAATATGCTCTACGTAATTGGTTAAAGTACCACTTACCTAATATCAGTTTTTTGTTCCCTTGCACAATATCATTTCCAGCGATATTCACCAAAGAAAATTTTAGTTCTTTTCCAATCTTCAAAACTTGATTGCAATTTTCGACTTTCCTGAATGGTAATTTTATTGGTGGGCGATTTGCCATCTTCCAATTAACTGAGCCTGGAGCAATCTTGTCAATTACCTCAAGCAGAACCCATCTACATCTCAAGTATGAAGTATAAGAGACAGAATCAACTTGTTCTTCGCATATTAAGATGGAGACAAGTATGTCCTACCCATTTCTAAGGTCCTCAAACACATTGTTGATGTAAGTAGAAATTCCAAGGCTGTTAATCCACAGCCGGAATGACCTTTCTTCCCTGGAAACTTGAGCATCATCAGAGAGTCCATCCACAAAGGAAACTTGTTTCATTTGTTTGGACAACCCATTTCTGCAATAAAAAGGTCAAGTAAAGCGAAATCATTTAGAATGTGGAAGTAATTTACTGCTGATTTGCGCTCCACATGCTGTCCTATGGCATTGATGCTCCCCCAAGCCATCACTGCCTAACATAGTTAATAGTATATATTCTCATCTGGGACGACCCTGTCCCCTAGTGTCTCTAATCTAAACACCTGTAAACAAGAGGCCAGTCCAGGGCATTGCAACAAAGACATGGCAATAAAACTTCCCTTTCTGACAAATACACACATAGTTCAATCAAAGGGAAATTCAACAGGAAAGAGTTGCATTCTGATCTTTTCAACATATGCTCATACAGTTGAGATATTAACTCACCATACTGTAAATTTCTCAACAAGGCACCATATCTAGTTGTTGAGATATGAATGCCATATATTTAACTTCTTGCAGAGATAATATATCTGATTTGAGGCACATCTATGCATGAATTGCATCAAATCAATAAAGCAAAATGAAATGGCTTTGTATCTGAATAAAAAATATGTTTGACTTAGGAAATTTCCTTGGAGACACCTAACAAACTTATATTAGTGAGTGAAAAGTCGGAAGAAACATAATGCCATAGAAAAACCTATATTATAGAATGATAGGCAGCTTGTAGCAAATACCACATGCTAACCACAGTTTTTAAGCATCATATTGACCTATGCAAAACATCAATACATACATACCTTTTTTGGAAAATATGAGCCACAAAGGCAAGATTTAGATTGGGTAAACCATCAACTATGTCTTTTGGAGTCAGGTATCTTTTGCAGCCCATCCTATCTGCATGCTCAAGGATTAACTTTGCTCTATGAAGTAGATCTTTTACAGACATCGCGGATGGTTTTGCACTGCATTCAGGTGCCAGGACATTCAGTAGACAAGCATACGCTTCACTATCCTGCATTTTTCAGGTGCAAAGGTAAAGGGAACATCTTCACGCTAAACTGTGATTAAAACTAGAAAAATTGATATATAGGTTAGTGTTCATGAATCACTCAACATTGTTGCTAGAAAAAATAGAAGTTCAAGAACTGGAACTGTCATCATGCAGGGGAAAATATGTTTGGTATAGATAATAGATATGCTTATTGACAATGTTCTGGAACAAGTTGAATAACACTAGGAAATTTCGCAACATTGTAAAAATTCATTTTGGGGTTTTCTAGTTAAGGTACAGTGACTAGTCATATTAACCAAGCTAATTGTATTTTGTTATAAAAACTAAAAGGGAAGGACTACAGTGGGAATGAAATGTGCATACTTTTATATCCGATGAAAAATTTGTTACTGTTTTCTGGTAACCTCCTTTCTTGAGTTGAAAGTTCATCCACCTTAGTAGAATCTTTTCAGGAGACAAGCTCATAAGCTCCTCCATCTCCTACAATGAGCACTCGTAGCTTTGGCAGTGAGTTATTTCCCATGACAGACCGAAATAGTCTTGAAAGCATAGTAGAATGAAGAGATATTATATACTACCTTACTGTCCCCAACCAATTCAACTAATTGAGGTGTGCTTTTAAGATTAACATCTGCCAACAGTTGTATCTGGTCGTTATTGTGACAAAATGTTAGCACAATCAGTTTCTTTACATGAAACGAACACAACACTGCATACAGATATTATCAAGGAAACAGTACGAAAAGACAAGAGCTTGCCTTGATTATTTGAGAAATTAAACCCAGGACCAGATGAGGCTGCAAGCAAATAGAAAAAAAGTTCAGTAAGATTACTAAGAGACTTGTATGAATTCTTTAAAATATAAAAAAGAACAGTAAGCAATACAGTGGCTGCTAGAAACAGCATCCAAATCTGATCATGGAGGATGTAAAACGAAGTAAATCAAATCAGACAGATCATAACTTCAATGAAAATTATGATACCTGAAAGGCTTGGATGCTACTAAAACCTGCCGTAGAATCTAAAGGTCGTTTAAATTACCCTAAACCTTCACTGTCAGACCGATAATCAAGTGGGATCAATTGAGATTGATTGATTCTTTCATGGTACCATGGACGCAAATTTCAAGTATCTTGAATTTGCACAGGAACCATCAAACTAACCATATGTTACCTCTCCAACTTTAGATGATTGTTCTGTGGTGGTCAAGCAGCATGCCTGAAGTACGGACATGAAACTAAAAAACCTATATAGACAGGCGACAGGTAATACTTTATGGTCCTACACATCACATGGACTTCACACTAGCGTGTCCTCACAGGCTCACAGCAACTTCTGAAAGAGCATAAGTACACAACTAAGAAGGAACGAAGCACACATTCATGACAGCTCTGCTCTGATGAATCCCATGCCGTAACTCATCAGAATCCCAGAGAAATCAGGGGAGATTCTTTACCCTCCCTTCGGCGAGGTCCTGTGTACCGATGTTGACGACAGTGCAACCGATCGCCTTGGCGGAGTTGAGGCAAAGCGTGTGGTTCTCGTTCTTCTCCCACAGATTGAGCACCCTCTTGGTGTTGATGGCTCGCTCATCGATGGTGCCAGGTACAGCCAAGTTGATGAGTTTGCTGGATGGAACAACAGTAAACAAGAAAACCCCGTCAGACTGCAGTGAACACCACAGTGTCGGATCGAAGCACAAAGTGCATCAGACAGAAACAGACCATAGGAGCACGCCGTCCTTGGTGATGTGGAAGATGTGATCGGTCGCCGGATCGATGGGGAGGGCGCTCTTTAGGAACGGATCCTCGGCGAGGTAGGCGTTGATGTGGCCGACGTAGGAGGCCTTCTCGGACTCGCTGATGGTGTGCAGCAGCGTGGTTGTGGCCGCCGTGAGGAAGGCAACAGCAGAGGAGGACGAGGAGCGCGCGATTCCTCCGGCGCGGCCGGCGCCGCCGCCGCCGCTGGCTGCCTTGAGGCGCAGCTGCATCTCAGCGTAAACGCGGAGGAAGAGCTCGAAGCTGGCGTCCTGGTGCGGCTTCTCGTCGGCGCGCGCGACGGCCTTAAGCACGGAGGCCCACTCCTCGTCAGTGAGGCCCAGACCGGGGCCTGGCTCCGGCGTGCTATTCTCCTTCTCGGCGTCCCTGCCCTTGACCGCACCGCGGCCGCGGATGCTAGAGATGGCGGCAGGGAGGTCCCGCATCCGCAGCCTCCCGTTAGGCGACGCGTCCCGCAGCACCGCATACTGCCCGACATCAAAACCCGTAAACCCCAACGCATGATAAGTGCGGTGCCGGTGCCGCTGGTGGCGACGAGGTGACAGTTGGAGCCCGAGCTCTGACGACGAGGTGATGGAGGCGGAGGAGGAAATACCTGGGTCTGGAGCGCGCGAAGGTCGGCCTGCGTGAAGCGGCGCTGCAGGTAGGGATCGGACACCACGACGAGCCCGTCAAACCCCATCGCGGCGGCGGCCAATCGGCGCCCGACGTTAGGTGGGCGGGCAGATCGGGGTGCTCGCGGAGGCGCTTCTTCGGCCTTCCGCTCTTGACAGTATGGAGCGGGAGCGGGAGCGGGGTGGTGTGGTGTGGGGCTTCCCTTTCGGCAGCTCAGAGGAGAGAGAGACCAGACGGGTCGGGGGCCCCGCCGGGGAGCGTCCGTTCGCTGGTTCAAAATAAAGGAAAGGGGAGGAGAATGATGCTGAGGCAGAGGCAGGGTGAGTTGTAACGGAAAAGCTTTGCCTTTCGCGTACCCAGTTGTCGCAGGCCACTGCCCTGTGGGCCGCCCGGTTGGCAGTGACCGATCAGCACGAGCACGAGGGGCGGGCTTGGCTATCTGGTCCCGACCGTTGCTGTTAGCTAGGGTCCCCGGCCAAAGGGGCCCGGAAGAGGTTGCTGAGCCTCGTTCTCCAGCCACAGCTCCCCTGTTCCAGCTGGTTGCTAATCAGCAGGTCATCAATGAACTGCAGTTGTTTTACACTGTAGCAAACCACTTAGCTTTGTTGCTAATCAGCAGGTCGTTCTTTTTACATGCTCCATAGCTTTTACAACTTGAAGTATTCTTAACATCTCAAGAGTTCTCCATGGATTCAAAGCTTCATTGCTTCGTTACTCTGCAGTTTGCTATTCGATTTGAATTTGACCTGCACCAACAATAATGGAAATGGAAAAGAAAGTTATTTAGTTGGTTGAGGTCCGTAAGGTATTGCTTGAGATCGATATATAAATATGCCAGCATTGCCAGCTCTGCTGCGTCGTTTGAAGCAGCAGCAGATGGATTGCCAAGTTCCATCTGTCGTAAGTAATTTAAAAATTTATTTACCAAGGAGTGCAGTATTTTTAATATCTAGGTCATGAATTCGTAGATCCTTGGGCTGATAAAGTATGCTCTACTTAGCAAGGTGATACTTCCTCTTTTGGTTGTTACTTTGCAAAAAAAAAAAAAAAAACTTGAGTAAAACTAGTCTAATTTCTTCAGCGCCCCTCTTAAAATGGCAAAGAAAGACATCATGTAAAATGATAAGCCACTTAGCACTGAGTTAATCAGTGTTAGATGTCCCCTTGTTGACAGATGTTTCCCTTTCTAGCTACTTAACCCCTTCTCAAAATGTTTTACTACCTTTTCCGGTCCTCATTCCTCAGTTTTCTAAAATGGATCAAAATCTCAAAATAAGTCATAGGAAAATCTCCAAATTTACATCCAAAGAGCTCATTATATTGGGCCTCTACTTCCGAGGCCACGCCAAAGCAGTATACTTCAATTTTATGGAAAATTATTTTAAGGCCAGAAGCTTGTTCAAAAGCGTAAAATAAATCCTTCATGTTTCGGGCTTGCTCTAGATCCTGTTCCATAAAGAGATATTGCATGAATGATAAACCGCCATCCACTATATGGGGGCACCACTTCGCTTAACTGCCCATCTTCTTTGGTTCTAGTGATGAGGATTGTTAACATGTCATCAACAATGTTAAAAAGAAGAGATCTAAAAAGAGTCTCCTTGACGAAGCCCTTTATTTGTTTGAAAAAAGTGCCCAATCTCATAATTTATATTAATTGCTACACTCCCACTAGTGATAAGGGTTTCAAGCCATTTGATCCACTTGGGCGAAAAACCTTTCATACACAGTGTTTGGACCAAAAAAGGCCATCTAACCTTGTGGTAGGTGTCTCAAAATCTATTTTGAAGATTACCCTGTTTAGCTTCTTCCAGTGGAGTTCATGTATTGTCTCATGCAGGATAACAACTCCTTCGAGGATGTGCATCCTCTCATGAAAGCCAATTGATGAGTTGGGCTTATAATGTGATCAGGCACCAAAATAACTCGATTAGTTTCCACTTTTGTAAAGATTTTTAAAACTAACGTTGGGCAGACAGATGGGTCTATACTTCTATATTCGATTTGCTTCTAGCACCTTTGGAACGAGGGGTAGAATACCTTCAAACTAAGCAATGGTAAATCTCCTCTATAGTGGATTTGGAACTTTAGCATAAGGTCACCTTTAATGATTTTCTAAAACTTTTGATAAACTCAGCCGGGAAACCATTAGGGCCAAGTGCTTTCTTATGTTCCATACCAAAAATAGCATCCCGAATTTCCTTCGTTGTAAAAGGGAAAGCTAGAGATTCATTTTCATCCTATGTTACTTGTGGTATATCACCAATCCTAGAGCTATCAAGGGCACATAAGGACTCCTCTGGTGGCCCAAATAGCTTCTTTAAGATTATCCTATCCTTCAAACTTTCTCTCCTCCCGATCAAGCGAGAAAATGTGCTTTCTTCTATGCTTGCCATTGACAATTACGTGAAAATACAATGTGTTATTATCTCCTAGGAGGACGTCCTTTACTTTGTCCCTTTGGAAATATTTAATTTACTTTTCTCTAAGTAGCTGAGTTAACTGATCTCGAGCAAGAGCATGCTTATCTCGCTCTGCTAGACAGATCACGCAACTCAGCCGCCAAATCAAGCTCATTAATAATGGTTTGTAAACTTTGTTTTTGTGCTTTGTATTGGCCATTATCATTTGCTTCCCACCATCTTAAAGCCCCCTTTGGCACGGCTCATCCAAAACGGCTTCATCGGTGAAGCCAAAGCCGGTGAAGCTAGAAAAACTGGCTTTTCTCGGCTTCTAGTTCATTTTAACCCCGGCTTACAAAACGGCTTCACGCTACAGTGCCTCGATTTGCGCAAAATAGATGAAGCCGAAGCCGGCATAAGCCGTGCCAAAGAGGCCCTAAATGTCTGCGCAAAGCGCTGAATTTATTATTCCATCTTTGAACCAGGTTTTGACCTTTCACTGATTTATTCCAAATTTCTAAGATATGCTCATAAAAATCATCCCAAGTAAACCAAGACAATTTTAATTTGAACTATTTTCCATTTTCTATAAAAGATGGTGTCCCTATATCTAACAACAACGGAGTGCTTTAGTTCTCATTCTGTTGTCATCAAAATTCAAACCAACTTTTCATAGGTTGGAATAGATAGCGAATTTGCCCAGATGAATTGTCGACCAATTAAATCAACCTCTCTAAGATCAAAGCTATCAACAACAATATTGAACAGAAAGAACCACCGATTATTATACCTATTATTGTTCTTTTCACTACTGTTAAAGTGTAGTGACATCCTTTTACCCAATGATCAAAATATGCCTCGGCTCAGAGGCCTCACCACAGTGAAGGATACTCCACCGCGCGCATGTGCAAAAATATGCATCGCAATTCTTTGAGGCACAAAAATATTTAGTTCAAAAGCGGCCGGGACGTGAACGGCTATAATTGGCGCGCGCATCTCCCGCTGCATGCGCCACATTTCCCTTCCCTTCCCTTCCCTTGCCATTGCCAAATTTACACCCGACCAATCTTTGTGTGTGGAATGGCGCCCACGGTCACGCTGCGGTGAGCGAGCGCGCACGCACAACCATTGGTTGTGTTGGTGAGCTCGATCGGTTACGTTCGCCGGAGATGGCATCGTCGCCGGGGTACGCGGATGGCGGCACGGGAGGTCTGGACGAAGGGGACCCCCCGCCCCCGGTGCCGCCGCCGATGAGGAAGCAGCCGTCGCGGATCGCGTCGGGGATGCGTCGGCTGGCGTCGAAGGTGTCGTCGGCGGTGCCAGAGATGCGGGGCCTCAAGCGTACACACTCCGGCGCGCAGTCGGGCTTGCGCGGGCTGCGCTTCCTCGACAAGACGTCTGCCGGCAAGGACGGCTGGAAGTCCGTCGAGAAGCGGTTCGACGAGATGAGCACCGACGGCCGGCTGCAGAGGGAGAACTTCGCCAAGTGCATCGGTGAGTCTTGCTGAGCCTTGTCACGGCTTGTCGTCTCGTCGCTGTGACATATATGATCTGTCTATATCCTGTAGAATGAGAACGTGTACCCAAACGGTTTACGTCCTTTCAACGATGCTAGATTTTCTTTGAGAAAGGCATATGCATGTAAATTTGTTGAGAAAAAGTTGATCTGTTTTGTGCTGGATTGGATGTATAATTACCTGATGCTCCACTACATATATCTGCGTCTTAAAGGTATGGCTGATTCAAAGGAGTTTGCAAGCGAGGTATTTGTGGCATTGGCTAGGAGAAGACACCTCAATCCGGACGACGGCGTGACAAAAGAACAACTGAAGGAATTCTGGGAGGAGATGACAGACCAGAACTTTGATTCCCGGCTACGCATTTTCTTCGACATGTAAACCTTACCTCTAGTTCCCTTCTTTTCCATACCGAAATACGGATTGCTTTCCTCTTGACGAGATGTGCTTGCATTGCAACCAGGTGCGACAAGAACGGTGATGGTAAGCTGACAGAAGATGAGGTCAAGGAGGTCGGTTTCTACAGTTCTGAAGCTTTGTTTTTTTGCACAAGTAGTTATATGGCAGGTGTTCTGCCGAGTTCTAACTTGTAAGTATAAAATTTCTATTTCACAATCATGCATGTGCAGGTCATCGTGCTAAGTGCCTCGGCAAACAAGCTTGCCAAACTGAAGAAACATGCTGCAACCTACGCCTCTCTGATCATGGAAGAGCTGGACCCTGATCACCGTGGCTACATTGAGGTGCACGAGGACATCTATCGAAACCCTGCTTTATTTGCTTCTCTCTGACAGACAGTCAGTGACAGAGCAGCAGCATACAGTACTGACAGAAAACAGAAAACAGATTTGGCAGCTGGAGACCCTGCTACGCGGGATGGTGACGGCATCAGGGCCGCCGGACAAGATGAACATGGCGTCAGCATCTCTCGCGAGGACGATGGTGCCTTCCAGCCACCGGAGCCCGCTGCAGCGGCGCATCAACAAGGCTGTGGACTTCGTCCATGAGAACTGGAAGAGGATATGGGTGATCTCCCTCTGGGTCGCCCTCAACATCGCCCTCTTCGTGTTCAAGTTCACCCAGTACCGGAGGCGCGCTGTGTTCGAGGTGATGGGCTACTGCGTCTGCATCGCCAAGGGCGCAGCCGAGACCCTCAAGCTCAACATGGCGCTCATACTGCTGCCGGTGTGCCGGAACACGCTCACAAGGCTGCGGTCCACCGCGCTCAGCAAGGTCGTGCCGTTCGACGACAACATAAACTTCCACAAGGTACGGTACGGTGCTGAGCTTGCCCACACAATGTTCGCAATGCATCTATCTGGCTGGCATGTTCGATCGCAATGACATTGTCCATCACAATGTAGGTCATCGCGCTTGCAATCGCCATCGGATCTGCAACCCATACGCTTTCACACGTCCTCTGCGACTTCCCCAGGCTGGTGTCGTGCCCCAAGGACAAGTTCATGGAGAAGCTGGGGCCCTTCTTCAACTACGTTCAGCCAACATGGCCGATTCTGCTGACGAGCATCCCGGGATGGACCGGGATCCTCCTCATCCTCATAATGTCCTTCTCCTTTACGCTCGCGACGCACTCCTTCCGGAGGAGCGTCGTGAAGCTGCCGTCGCCGCTGCACCACCTGGCCGGCTTCAACGCCTTCTGGTATGCCCACCACCTGCTGGTGATCGCCTATGTCCTCCTGGTGATGCACTCATACTTCATATTCCTCACCAAGCAGTGGTACAAGAGAACGGTACGTATATATTTTTGTTCATATTCCTCCTGGTGATGCCCAAGCTTGAACTGGCAATTTTGCTTGCCTTTTCAGACATGGATGTACTTGGCAGTCCCTGTCGTCTTCTATGCCTCCGAGAGAAGTATCAGAAAAATTCGTGAGAAAAGCTATCGCGTGAGCATCATAAAGGTAAAGTGATATGCATGGTCTCTTTTCAGTTTGTTTGTCTTAATATAAATAAATTTCTCCTTATATAAGTTCTGCACACAAAGAGGACTACTAGCAGTAAATTTTCATTATACATATATTTATGTGTCACACAGGCAGCAATTTACCCGGGAAACGTGCTCTCAATTTACATGAAGAAGCCACCAAGCTTCAAGTACAAAAGTGGGATGTACCTGTTTGTAAAATGCCCAGACGTTTCACCTTTTGAATGGTACCAATAAGGCAGTAATGTCATTTTCCAAGGCATGCATGACACTCCTAAAGAAAAAGAGCTGTCCTAATAAGATTCGTCAATATCTGCACTGCAGGCACCCCTTCTCCATCACTTCGGCTCCTGGAGATGACTACTTGAGCGTTCATATCCGTACATTAGGTGATTGGACATCAGAACTCAGGAATCTGTTTGGGAAGGTCAGTTGACTGAGCACATCAGAAAGGGAAAAAAAATGGAGCCTATTTCATCATAGTAGGCTAAGTTTGACATGAAAAATATGTTTGATGCAGGCTTGTGAAGCAGAAGTAACTTCTAAGAAGGCTACACTAGCTAGACTTGAAACAACTGTTGTGGCGCATGGTCTGGCAGAGGACACTAGGTGATTGATTGCCTCATTTGTTTCATATATATGCTGGCTGTACAAATGGTTTCCTGAGTAGATTTGGTAATACTACACTACGGTGTGAGAGTTATATTATCTCAAAGTGACACTTTAATCAACAGGTGGACAAGGCTTTAACTGGGAAGTTTGTCATAAGACGTCGCCTATTTTATTTTTTTTAAATATAGGCTATGCATCTGACTTGGCTTTATTCATTTAGGTTCCCTAAAGTATTCATAGATGGCCCTTACGGTGCACCGGCTCAAAACTACCGGAAATACGACATTCTTTTGCTTATTGGGCTCGGGATTGGTGCAACTCCTTTCATCAGCATACTGAAGGATCTCCTCAACAACATAAAGTCAAACGAGGTAAAACAGTGCTGAGCTCTTGCAAATCTTTTCCAAATGGACAGCAAATATGTTTAGCTCGGTTGTACTGAAACAGGAGGCGCAGAGCATGCATGACACCGAGTTAGGTTGCAGTTTCAAGACGAATGGGCCAGGAAGAGCCTACTTCTACTGGGTTACCAGAGAGCAAGGCTCCTTCGAGTGGTTCAAAGGTGTTATGAACGACGTTGCCGAGAGTGATCACGATGTACTACTCTTGATGCTCACAATCCCTCAATTCCTAATCATTACCAGACAAAGTGATACATCCTCGGTCTATCCATGCATATATACAGGATGTAATAGAGATGCACAATTACCTGACCAGCGTGTACGAGGAAGGCGACGCGAGGTCAGCCCTGATTGCCATGGTCCAGTCGCTTCAACATGCCAAGAACGGCGTGGATATCGTCTCAGGCAGCAAGGTGAAACAAACAAACATCTCCTTTCATTTCCTCTGCCTCTCTTGTCTGCACAAAATTCAGATATGCTTGTACCTGTTTCCAGTTCTGAGTGACCTTTGGATTTGCAGATTCGAACGCATTTTGCAAGGCCAAACTGGAGAAAGGTGTTCTCTGATCTGGCCAGTGCCCACAAGAACTCACGCATAGGTGAGTTAAATATGTATGACACTAAAATTGAACCGACCTTGTTTTGATGAAGCAGAAAAGAAAATCAACCGACGTACGTAGCTTCTTAAACAAATGCACAAATATTTAGTAAGAAATTGATCCTTCGAAACGGAATCGCAGGCGTCTTCTACTGTGGATCTCCAACACTTACGAAGACCCTGAGAGATCTTTCGATAGAGTTCAGCAGTACCACGACGACCCGATTCCATTTCCACAAAGAGAATTTCTAAGAAGCAATGGCACGGCCTCAGCCTGGCTCGGCTCGTACGTGTGTCCCCTGCGCATCGATCGGTAAAGAAACGGGCAGGTTGTGTGCCTATGCAGGTCAGATTTGAGTGGCTTCATAGAGCCCTTGCTAGTTTTGTGGAACAGGGAGGGGGGCTTTACTGGACCAAGAAAGAGCCTTTTGCTTCGTCGGCTACTGGGCTTGCTAGGAGCTAGCATCGTCAGGTTTGTGTTGGAGGCTGAGCAGGAAATTCAGCATAGGAAGTTCCATGTAGGAAAATGATAATTGTAATGTAATGCCATGTAATGTAATTCTTCTCTAGCCTAGCAATGTCTTTAGTTGAATGACGAATTGGGACGAGGTCAGGTGGGACTGTTTGAATACGGACCCCAAGACCTGAGTTCGCGTTCAGTTCGACTAGCTAGGATGTAGACGATTCTTTCTGCATTTATAAAACTGTCATAGATATTCTCCATTTTAAGGAACAATTTTCTTTTTTTTTCTGAAAGGAAACTTGTATAACACCATTCCCTTTTAGACTTCTGCTACAAGTCCATCTAGCTTATCCATATCATTATTACGTACGGATGAATATTAGTACGAGAGCAGCCCCCAAAAAAATAGCACTCAAATTGAGGTAAATTTCCAATATGTGAGTACTCCCTCAATTCTAAAATATAACATATTTATAGTTGTCTTAAGTTAAATCATTCTTTGTTTGACCAAATGTATATAAAATAACAATAATATTTATAATATTAAATAACCTTCATTAGATACATTATTTAATCTATTTTATAGCCTATCGTTGCAGGGTCTATTCTCCGCGAGGTACAAATAGAGAGAGTGTCAATAGACCTAGCACTTCCGTGAACTTCTTGTCACTCATTCCCTATTCTCTAAACACTACTATAGAGGTAGGACTTTGCTAGGTTACTCAAGTAGGAACTCCTCTGTGCAATGATTACAAGTGAGCGTTGTCTCTCTATTTATAGTGTCAGGAGAGTGAGAAGGTGGACCCTTTAATCAATGAGAGAGCCCCTTGATGACCTTCGCATCAAACCAACATCAAACCAATGCCTAGCAATGGTCACAATTGTGCTTTCTTACATGTCGTAGAAGATGACGCGGTTTGGCCTCCGTGGGACTTTGAGTGACCTAGGGGGTCCGTCGACCCCCATTGACCCCAATGGCCCTCATCTTTTGCAGAGTGTTGGGTCCACTGCTTAGGGTCATGGTTATGGGTTGCTCCAGTTGATTTGGTCGATGATGGTTACGTGGTGGGTCTGTTGATTTATGTGAAGCACATCCTGATTTATTGATCTCCATTGTACGTAGACGATGTGTTGGAGTGTGTTGGCCAAAGTTGGAGTGGATTGGCCACAACTCCAGGTTGGGCGACCCCGTCTAGAGCCCAATTCGGCCCATTTCAATGGATGAGTCCCTACACATTTGTATTCTCTAAAATGTGTTTCTATAGCTTATTTTGATATGTGTGTGTGATATGTTACGATTTTTCTCAAATCTTGATATATTGTGATGAGGACATCATTTCTTCGGATGCACCCATTGATCCTCCAACCTCTATGCAAGGTCAAATGACTGGAGCTCAAATGCGACAACTAAATCTAGAGGTGCGCATGTTCTTAAGTGATATTTTTCATAGTTTTTAGAATAGATTGCTACCTAATGATGATATCATGATTAGGAACATTGGAGAGGGCCATCAAGTCCTTGGAGAAAAATGTATGGAGGCGGATAAGACCAGCAAGGATGTTCGAGCCAAGCAGGAGGCCCAGTCCAACTCGAGTTCGAGCCTGCCTCGTCCTCCAGAACCAGCCTGCAAACTCCGTTTTTACGATCCACCTATGGATGGAAATATAATTTCGTAAGCTAACCAATGGTGTTGGTTTGACATTAGAATTCCATCGGAGTCAATTGGGATCCTCGAAACAAGTCAGCATCAAGAATCTGCCAGGGTGCTGCGACACCGTCTTTTAGTCTGCTAGGCCGTGTATCGTCTTTGAGCCAATCTAGTGGTGCATCCAGGGGTTATTCAAGCCCCTTGGACTATATATTGAGTCATCACCTCTTATATTAGGGTTTGGGTTTTGCTTTAGATCAATCTATCTTCGAACAATCGCCATCATTTGGTTGTGAAAGCCCAACTTCAAGTGCTTAATCATTCATTTGCAATTGTTACTTCAAGTGAGTTGCCTACTTTTGAGTTCTCGCTTGTATTCTTCATTTCACAGGCAAGGATTAGCTTTCTTGGTAAAGGTCAACTGGATTGTGACACGGTTGATAACCAAAGGAGACATGGTGCTAAGGTTGCAACATTCGGTTCTTTTGATCTCTAAAGTCATTTCTTGTGTCAATCTCCACCAAAAAGATAGTTATCTCCACCTGATGAATGATCGGGAACCTCGTCCCCTTCATATTTGATCTACCATAAAATGGAATACCCTTGAGGGTCACTAATTTCATTGAGGAGCGAGATTGGACCCTCAAGCAATATACCATTACCTTGGCGGTTGTAGAAAGCCTTCAAGGAAATGCATATTTTTTGAGTTGCTAAATCAAACTGACAAGGTAGTTGTACATTTTCTTGGGTGCTAGTCTGAACCACCAAGGTAATTGCATGTTTTCTTGAGTGCTAGTCTGAACCATCAAGGTAATTGTATGTTTCCTTGAGTGTTATCACAAACCACCAAGGCAATTTGCATTTCCTTGAGTGTTATTCCGCACTCTCAAGGAAACTGTACATTTTCTTGAATGTATTTTAAAACCCCCGAGGAAGTGCTAGTTTCTTTGAGTGCCAGCCGTAAGTAAATTGCTGTACCTATCAAGAAAAAGTTACGTTTTAAGTTCTCAGAGTGTTGGAATTCAATTTTTTTGAATTTTTTAAACAACCTTGGATGGAGATACAACCTAAACCAAAGTTGTAGAGCTCGAAGAGATATACAAATTTCTATTTGGTGACTTTTCATTTGAAATTACTTGTATTCAAAATTATGTTTCAAGTTCTCAGAGTTTTGAAATTCATTTTTTTAAAAAATTCTAGACAACCTCAGATGGAGATACAACCTAAACCAAAGTTGTAGTACTCAACGGGATATAAACCTTTTTTGTTCAAATTTTTCATTTGAAATTTTTTAGAGTCTCATATATTCATTATAAGATCCACTAAAGTGAATACCAAAAAGAAAGAAACATTCACTAAGTCACAAATTACATTGTGGTGTAGTGGTAAGTGTGATTCACGCGAAACATCGGGTCACAAGTTTGATTACTAGCTACAGCAAACATGTGACTTTTTTTTTTCTTTTTTTGCTATATATATATCCTTGATGGTTATCAGTTCTCAAGAAAATATGTAATCTTGGCGGTTGTTAGATATACCTTGGGGGTGGTCTTGACCTCGCCTTTGTTTCCTTGGCAGCTAAATCCCCAAGGAAATCATTTGTGGCTGTCAACCCTCAAGGTAATAGCTATTTCCCTTCCTATCTATCCTTGGCGGTCCATCCTTAAGTGTTGGCTGCCACAAATAATTTTCTTGACGGTTTTCATGGTTTTCTTGAGAGTTTTTATCCTCAAGGATATTCTGTTTTATGGTAGTGAATGACTATCAACAATCAACTTGTGCTTGATGTTGATCTCGTGTCTTGTCTACATTCGTTCCATGATCACATCTTGACGAAGAGGGTACACCATGGACATGAGATTATCCATTATGAAAGACCGAATCATAAAGGATTTGTACTTGAGGATCTTCATCTTTATTTTGATTTTGAGCTTCCCTAGACCTCACTTCACCAATGGCAAGTCTTTTAATAGCTCGGTGAGGTGGTTTTTCGTTTCTTAACCTTTTCATTGACTTAATTTTTTTTAGAGCCATTAGATTCATCAAAAGTCACATCTATCTCTATTTCGACACAACTGGTGGTTTTATTGAAGACATGATATCCGTGTTCATTAGTACCATAATCAAGTAAGAAACCTTCATCTACTATTGGGTGCGAACTTTGAGCTTTTGGATAAGTACTTAATATCAAGTAAAACGAGTAGATGTGAACTCAGCTGGTTGGGTTACTTGTGGTGTAACATGGCCACCTGGATTTAAGTCATTGACTTAATACAGGTGCCCTATTACAGAATTTAAGTACTCAACTTGACACGGGTGATGGCATTTTTCTGGATTAATCACATGATTCAACTTCATTTTTTTTGTGGAAGGCAACATGTCCATCGACAGTGAGCTAACTGGTGATTTTGTCAATCTCGAGATTTTCTTTCAGTGGAAGGTGACGTACCTGTCAATAGCGAGATCCTTATGGTGACTTCGTAAATCTTAAGATCGTCCGGCTCAATTTTTCGAGGTGCTTATAGGAGTAGGGTAGACGCTTGTGGTAACATCGCTGATCTCGAAATCTGCTGACTCAGTTTTAGTGTTTCGAAGGTGTTCATAGCTATAGGATGTATATGTTGTGTCTATAGAGGTGAGTGTGTATGCATGTACAAGTCTTTGCGTCTATACACTGATTGGGCAAAGAAAAAAGTAAAACGAGTAGACATTTGAATGGCATATTAGAATCTGATATATATATTTTATACTAGGTAACGTGCCCGTGCGTTACTACGGGACAACTAAACTTTTGTACTAAAAACACACGGATCGCACGATAAGATAACAATACTGTGAAAATAAATACCGACACTAAAGTGACATTTAATCCAAAAAAGCAAATTCATGAAATTAACACAGTTACGGAGAGCGCGGCGTCGTAGGCACACAAACTCTACTGTATAGATATTTCCGTGATGTGACTAAGATGATGTTTTATATCGGCTGGAAGAAATCTCCGATATCCATTTCTTTCGTGCGCCAATAATTCCACGAATAAGTTCCGCCGCATGTCCATACCATCCGGTACACAGGTTCGAGTATATATGTAAATATTAGTGCCTGCCACATGGGTAATACTGCGTGTCTTAAAAATGTCT